GAATGGGGCCCCAGAGGAAAATGCGGGCATTTCCACTGGGAAAAGCCGTGCACGTGCTACCTGGAGCATCTGACTTACGTTTTAATGAAGAGAATGGCTCAATCCAAAACTTGGAGTGCAGCAATCCTACTGAGCGGGATTTGGGATCTGCAATCAAAACCAGGTTCTGATTTCTGGAGCCCCACACACTAATGAACACTGAGCTGATGAGACGGACCCACCATGGGGTACGCGAGCATCTGCCGGTCTCTGCTCAGACTCGGGAGCTCAGCCCGCTCTCCCCGTGCCCAGCTGGAGCCGAGCTCTCTGAATCCTGCTCATTTTGGTCTGCAAAGAAATGGCAGCAATAGGGCTTGGAGAGCCCCATCAGCCAAACCGACCTTGCTCCCACCCTGTAATCTTCACCCTAATCGCGCTAATGGGGATGAATTCAAACGCCGCCCAGGCAGACGCCATCCTTGTGGTGTTCAATTGTGGCTCGGTGCCGGCGAAGGGCCCCATTACAAGGCTTTCATTCACTCTAATTCATTGTCCCCCGCTCATTCATTGATATTCATTGGGATCATTTTGATCGGAGGCAGGGAGTGAATTGAGTCCGGGACTCACAAAGCGCGCACCATGTGTTCTGCCCTGATTTGCCATTAGTGAAGGGGGGACACTCCAGATGAAGAATAACCAGCCTCAATTACATGTTACATCCACTCTAATAGCCCAGGAGTCCATCACACTTAATGTTATTTCAATGAACACTAAGAGAATTCACACCCACTGCCTGGTGCTTGTTAGAGGAGCCAGCCGTGGCTTTGGCAGGGCTTTGGGTGGGCTTCATGCCAGCGCAGCACTCGTAGACTGTGCCGTGTCTCTGCCGGTGTGCCCTGGCAGCTGGGCTCATACACAGCGACCGCGACCGGCGATCCTGCTGCAGGCCCTGGAGGTGAAGGTGCAACCGCTCAATAGAGGGAAAAAAAGGCAACAAAAGGGAATCTGCATCCATTTTGAAGCCCATCGGCAGCACCCAGTGCTGCCTCTTTGTACCCGGCTCCTGCGGCTCAGGTCAAGGTCACTTCTGCCACCCTT